TTTTCCTCATTGTAGACAAGGCAAGATATAGTCAGGATCAACGCATGGATGAAGGATAGACTTATATATATGTAATATAGATTCTGGCGGGAAAAATGCCTAGAACGAAATAGTTAAGTTACTTTCTTAGCAGCTGACCGACCAACTGATTCAATACAATATTTCCCTTCATATTAGCGGAAAAAGTTAGCCCGACAGGAGGTAATGTGTTACTATACTGGAGGTTAGCACAAGTCATGTTGATTTAAGGCAAAAAGGATTCTTCTAGACGATTAAAAGAGATTTGTTTCGTTTTGGAAGAGTTAAAATTAACAAACCATTTCTTAACTTAGTACAGTTTCTTTGTGTTTATTGCGCATCCGTTCGCCTTTTACTATTATTAATCTTCTTTTTCTCAATTGTAGGAAGTCAACTTGTTTTCTCTTTTCTGTTGCCAAGTCTTATTGCTTTCATAACTGCGGCTGCAGAGATACGAGACCAGAATATCATAAGAATACGTAATGATAATAGCTTTTATGTCTTAGGCTGATTTGGTAAGATTATCCAATCATAAGCTTGTAAATAATCTGATATTTGGTGAAGTCTAGAAAGGAGAAAAACTGCAGATTAATACCGATAAATGATTTTGCCGAAGGAGGGGGAGATATCGAACATAGTTCACAGCGATTCGTTTACATCTGAATTGTCACTGCTGTTCATGAACTTTTTGCCAGAGTCAAAAGCAGATCCAAACTCCAAACAGGCTGTTAGCAGATATCTGAGTTTGTCTGTTTGTTTATGAGTCCTTCTTCACGTGAATTCTGGCGACTGAAATTCCATCTACCAAAATCTCTAAAATCGCTATTATTTCCTTGTTTTTGCACGTCTGTATCTTATTTATTTTTTCAGTGTGTACCACATTTTTAAAAAACAAAATTTTCTGGTGTAGTGTTGAAACACGGCAATCCTATCAACTTTCACGATGCATTTTTGGGACGTAAAGGCAAACCGAATTGTTTTACTGTAGATTTCTGCCAAAGAAAAGAGGAAAGACTTACGATCCGATTCCTTTTTAATATCCCGACACAAAGTACAGTATTTTAATATCTTTGATGTATTGAGACAAATTTAGATAAAATCATCGCTTGTCTAGCGGTTAAGGAGAGAAGCGAACTATTTTGGGTTCCTCCCAACTTAGTTTCCGCAAAACTGGAGTTATTTGAGAGTAAATTCTGTTTGTCTTCTGACTAAATTCCTCACTTCTTCCAATAAAAAGAGTATAGTTTATAGCCCTCGGTGTCATTTGGAGTTAACGGAAAGGTTCTTCATATTTATTCATTTGGTGAATCTTTTCGCCGAACAAAATCAATGCTGCTAAACGTTATTTTACTACACTGATCACTTCTATACAATAGTAAATGTGGTTATCTTAAAAATTCTTTTTCATTCACAAAATGTGATTAAAAGACCAATTAACATAAACGAGCATTGTAGTATCTATAGAGATACGTTTTGTTATGATGCATTAGACTGATTGTTGTTTGTACCTGGCTTTTTAAGCTGTGAAAGAAAAATAGATCTTATTAGGTCTCCCGGTATATCACCACTGTTGTATATTTCCTTTATTATGTCTGTAATCTTGTCAACACCGAAATAATTTAAGGCTGTCAGTATCTCTTTTTCAATTTCATCTGGTCCTGCTGATTTGTTTCACTTCAATTTGGGCAATGGTGATTGCACTTCAGATTTTAATCTTGTGCTTCGATAATTCTTTGACAGATTCTATACTGAAACAAAAAAAAGTGAAAACCAGTCTGGAACTTCGAAGCCATATGTCTCAGCATAAATATAATTTATGAAAAAAAACAAAGCATTGTTCAAGTACATAGTGATCTCATCGAATCGCAAAGTAAACCGAAAGGAAATTGCAGAAAAACAAAAAAGAAAGCACTACCAACAATAATGTCACAAGAATTATTGTAATATCATCAATAGGCTTTAGAGAAATACCCAAAATGTACTTTTAGAGGCAGTATTTTCCCCCAAATGGAGATAAGGTCTTTAAAAACTAAATACAATAGAATGTGAGGTACTTACTTAAGAGTTCCGCTGGAAAAAAAACATCTTAAATTTTCCTTTTCTCAAATGTGTAATAGTACGCAGCTATCAATGATGTAAGTAGAGTTTCAAACTTGACATTCGTAAATAAAAAAAACCCAGATATCACTTAATAAAATCAGAAATCGGTACAGTTAATTCAATTAGTACCAAATGAGGATATAAAGAAAGCTATAAAGCATTTTAATATATAATTAAAATTATCTTAACCAAACAGCTTGATATGCTATATCATAGTCTAAATTAACTTTCAATTTACACTTTGAAATATCTTTCTAAGCAAGAAGCTCGCTATCAACATGCTGGAAACTTGCACTTCAAAGAAGAATTAAGAAATATTATTAGCACATTAACAAATAATAATTACATTTCATTTGTTGTTTCTAAGACGTGACGTAGAAAGAGAAACGCCAATATAATCGAGTCTATAGAAGAAGAAACTCCAATATAACCCTATCTATAGGAAGAGAAAAGCCAATAAATCAAGTCAATAGAAAAAGAAACTCCAATATAAGTTTATCGAAAGAGAAATTTAAACATAGCCATGTCTATAGTAAGACAAACTCTAATATAACAAAGTTTACAGAAAGAGAAAGTCCGATATCATCAATCTCATAGAAGGGAAATCCTCAATGTAACCAAGTTTATAGAAAGAGTAACACCAATATAAATACGTCTATAGAAAGAGAAATTCCAGTATAACAATATCTCTAGTTACAATAAATTTTCTCTGTGTTTACAAAAGAACAGATTCAAAGAGTTTGCCGCCGTTAGATGAGCAAGATTGTCACTAATAAAATCACTTTACCTAATTTCTTTACTAAATTAGCTTCTCCAGAGAAGATGGATATGATGAAAGTTTATATTAATAACGTCCAGTGCAAATGCGAGGAAATATATAAAGTGGAAACAAACCGTTCCAATAACGTGTCATTTAAGAAGAATAAGATAACCATCGACAAATTGGAATAGACAAATATGTTACATCAGAACATCTCTAAACAATCTATCAGTGAAGAAAGCAACGGCTGATGGTAGGAAAGTTTTAAAAGTATATCCGTTTTATTTTTGTGAGTTGCATAAGTCAAGATTATATAGATAAAATCTGCTACTGCCGTGTTTTCTTTGCTTAGATAAAAAGATGGTCAAGCATTTTCCTTGTACAATTTCGAATCATCTGAGTAGATGTGTGCAGGATTTTCAGATAGGACAACTTATATAAAAAAAAGTAGTTCTTTTATGTGTCTTTCTCCTTTAGGATGTGGAAGATCATGGCTTTCCACAACTTCTCATCCCTTTTAGTACTTAACCATGTTTATCCTTTTACTGCCCTCCCCATTCCCTGTTCTGTTCTCCATTTATACAATCATGTTAGGTAACTTATTCGTTGTTTCCCGCTTGCCTTCAATATGGCTTCTCAGTTTTTGTAGACATTTCAACTACCTAATCTTTCAATTGTATAAAAAATTTGAATGTTACTATTTCCGATTTGTTGGACTAATTTGAAAATAATCTGGGTAATTGTGGCTGCTAATTAAAATTAACAACATTCAACTGGGATATCAAATGTAATTTGATTTTTATTTTCAGTAGAGTTTGTCAATCATGCATAGATGTTGACATGATAGAGTCTACGGGTTCAATATTACTAAAATGGACTGATTTAATTGTTCTTTTAATCGTAATTTTCTCCGTCATCATCATTACAAGAAGTTAGAGATGAGATCCTATAGAACCATCTCTAGGCATCTCCTATGTTGGCCGTATCACAAATTACACATTGCGAGACAACATCACACAAGAAGCAAACCCATTGGAACATATCCACTGACAGGGAAAAAAAAACATTAAGAGCCAACGGAATTTTTCCTGTTATCCTGCAAGGAACAACCTGAGGCAAAAAAAAAAAAAGAAAGAAAAACTGGCACACAATGTCACTGAAAGATTCAGACATTAGCACACAACCGAGATATGTGAAGGGAGTGAGCCATGTGTTCAATTGCGTGGTGACCCTAGGAGCACATCCTGTCATGGGATTCATCATCATCATCCTCATCATCATCGTCATCATCATCATCATCCTCGAAAGACAAAGTTGCTCTCTTTATTTACGAATTATACATAGGAGGATGTGTAGACGTCAGCCCTAACCTTGCGTCACCAATCTCAAGAAGACAAAGTAAGATTTGAATTATTTAATCGCTAGTTGAAACAGTAATAATTAAAATGTCTTTGTGGAGAAATGCAGCGATCTGTAATTCTCTAATGTAACAAAGATTTCTGTGTATACACTGTAAAAGAAAGGGACAAATATATTCACACGCTTTATTGATTACACTATTAACTTACAAAAATATTGGGCAAAGTAATTTGGTGTTGTACACTTTGTGTGAATTTTTTCAATCTAAAGTTTGTGTAATGTTCATGTTCAGGGGTCGGTAATGGATGTATTCAAACGGAATACAAACGACGACAAATCTGTCCTTTTCTCGGAAGCTATAATCGGTCGAGATGAAGAAACCTGACGAGACTTGATCGATTCTGTTACAGAACAGAACCAGTTTTGCGCAGACACGAATGTCGCTCACGCATGCGTAGAAGAGAGTAGAACACTAGATTTATTCGTGTGTATAGCATTTCCAATTCCTTCTCTCTGCATTTCAGGAAGTCCGATTTATTTTTATAGATGAAAAGTAACACTTCCCGCCAGAAGATATACTTGCTTGATTACGAGATTCTATAGGTCAAAACTTCACCTTTTGCCAGCTGCTTTACCCGACATTTCTGTAAGCTGTTTATATTGTTCTTAAGCAATTGGACGAATTCCGTGGAGAACTGCTTCGTTTTACACTTATTAATGTACTTTATTTTACTATGTTTTTCTTCTTTCTAATTCTCATTCAATGCTTCTGTTTATTCATTCATTGTTTACTTTTTATTTGTTTGTCTCGTTCTTTTTATTTCTTTTCTTAAAAACTTTCATCAGTCTCGTTCTTTCTTTGTTTCTGTGCATTAATATCCTTCGTTTTTTTTTCATTTCTTCTTTCTTATTCATTCTTCTTTCTGTTCATCCTTTTTCATTCATTTAATTATGTTTTTCCTTTATGATTGTCGTTCGTGTTTATCATCACTTTCTTTGAATTTCATTTCTTTTCATATTTTCTTTCTTTTTTGATAGTTCTTTTTTTTAGAAAATTTTATAGAGAAATAGAAAACATTTCTATCTATATATAAATTCAGTGACTTGCATTAGTCCATCCGTCAGTCACACCATCTGAAATTGTCATACATTGACCGATCAAAACCAAATGGTGGAGATAAGTGCAAACATGTAAAGGGGGTACAAACATGTAAGGGGGTACAAACATGTAAGGGGGTACAACGTACAACTGGTTTTACTAGGGTGCGTATCTTAGTACAATAATTTTCATTAATCCTTCCGGAAAAAATTAAAAGATTTTATAATTTAAGATACAAAATACTTACACTATATTAAAATCAATTTAATCATTAGAATAACAATATAATAAAAATGCAATATTGTTTTTGCATATCTTTTCTTTAAGTTTTTATATACAAGGATCAAATTTCCAGTTCGCCCTGTGTTTGCGAGAATTATATACAAATCTCAAAGCCAAACGCTTCAGAAAGTTGGAATTTGCCCCCAGAAAGATATATTTACGCATGGCTTGTTGTATGCTTAATGCTCAAGAGTAAGAACTCCTAAGAATTTATTCTTCGCTCTTAAAAAAGAAAAAAGGAAAAAATAACTTTTCTTTAAAAATATATATTTTTTATCGTGAAATCCTATGAAATTAAATTAAATTAAAGAAACTATTAAGACACGTAGTATAGATTTTGTGAAAGTATTTTTCCAAACAAATCAGCTTATTGAAATTTAATCGATTGGTTTGCGAAATTGTAAGAAATGTAGAGTTTGTAAATCTCGACACAAAATGTCAGCGATAATTTCAGTAAATAGTAAATACTGTGAGGATTTCGTGCGTGTTGCAAAGAAAGACAGAAAAGAGTAGAAAGAAAGAAAGTGTGGAAAAAGAAAGCAAATATGTATAAGGCATTGAAGCTTAGTAATCAAAAAATGATCTACATATCTATTTCTACCTCTCCCCATGAATATATATTTTTTTTATTTTTACGGGCTAATTTCTTCTTTACATTGTTTGACCATATATATTGTAAAATTGTTATATAGACGGCGATTTTACTTTTCCTATGCCAATTAACGCATGGGTGATTAAAAGATTATTATTTGTTACTGAAAGGGAACCAGTTATAGCATCCAAATCTTGACATTATTAATGGAAGGTTACTTCTTTTAATGAACAAAATGACAATGTAACAAAGAGAAAAAAAAACAGAAGATAGCGAGGGAAATGGAGAAACGATGAGAAAGAAAGTTTTTTTAAAAATCATTTCACACTTAGCAAGGTGATGAAACCACTAAGATGCAAGCGTTTAATGAAAGTAAAAGAAAATGAGAAAACGTGAGTGATGAGGAAGGACGGTAAAAAAACAGGAATCAAGAAGATGGAGATTGATGTTGTAATTAAAGTTTTGAAAATTGTATATGTCAAAGAAATAAGAAGTCAGAAGCGACTTCTCCAGGAGATTAGTGAGATAATATATATTATTAGAATCGAATTAACGGTTATATCTACCTATTTCAGAAATAAAATGATGAGACCTGCTTGCAAATTTCGTCCTACAATTAAATTTATGCAGTTGAGGTACCAAGGAGGAAAGCTGATTAGATCAATTGCCAAGAAAAATTAATCTTTCCTTTTATCTATCTCTCTCTCTCTCTCTCTTCTCTATATATATATATATATATATATATATATATATATATATATATATATATATATATATATTACATGACTCATTCATACAAAAAACAGATATAGAAGATAATGATTTAAATGGCGAGAATACATATTCTCAAACAAATTTAATAAAGTACATTAACCCCGAACATGTAAATGAATGTTATGATCCCTGTTTATAAATTACAGTTGCATAAGGTCTTTTTAGTTTTTTACAAGCTTTCATCTGTTCATACAGTCATCATCAGGTATGGAAATAGAACTGCACCACATACTTGATATATATATATATACATATATATATATATATATATATATATATATATATATATATATATATATATATATTGTTTTCTAAAAAATTGTTCTGTTGAGCTTTTCTACCTGGTACCTTATCTGCATGAATTTAAGCGTGCTACTAGATTGCCAAGTAAGTTAAAACATTTTACTTTTAAACAACCTTGCTGCAACCGTATGTTCTAATCTAATAGTTTCTTTTCTCGCACTTTTCGTCTGTGGAATCCCCTTCCTGTTTATTGCTGCCTTGCTACTTACAATCTTAAAAAAAATATAAATCCAAAGCTAATCTCCATCTATCTTCTTGAATCCTGTTCTTTTATTGCCTTTCTTCTCATTTATCCCCACTAAAGTTTCCCCATTCTCTTTTTGTTCCCAGTAACCCCTTACGTCTTAGTGGAATTATCGACTTCATTGGGGTGAAATGGTTCAAAATAATATTTATAGAAAAGACGCAGGGAAGCCACATTACTGGGATGGGAAATTGAGTGAAATAGAGATGCTAAGTCAGGAATGCTGGGCGAAAGAAAAAAGAATTAAATCGACCAGTAGAAATAAAATGAAGAAGTAAATGGAAAGAAGAAAATTATTGAACTTAAAGAAAGAAAAGTAATCGTAATGTAAACCTATGGAGTATGAAGGCGAAAGAAAAAACAGGAAAGAAAGAAAATGAGAAAAAAAGAAAGCAAAATTTGTAGGAATAAAAACATACAATCTATATAAGGAATTTAGATAAGAAAGGCAAATACAATTCCCATCCCTAAATGTAACCATTTTTGATATTTGCAACATTTCCGTTTGATTAAACATAGTTTGTTGCAAATGCTTTCAGCAGCATTAAGGTTAGCAAAATGTCTCATTTTCACAATGTTAGGGAATTTTTTCGATGCAAAGTATGAATGGAAACCGTAAAAAAGACTGACATTGAAGAAAATTATGTTAATGAATATAAAATATAAAGAAGGAAGTTGAAAAATAAGGATCGGCCATTAAAATAAAGAAAATAATGAAAACGATAAAAGAAAAATGAAAAATGGAATCAATGAAAAAAAAAGAATGAAATTGAAAAATTATGAAGGATTTTAAAGAAAAACATGAGAAGAAAAAAGAATGATGTGATGAAAAATATGGCGGAATGAATGAATTAAGAAAATAATATAAACAACAAACAAACAAATAAGACAACAATGTATGAAGAAATGGAAAAAAATATATTGGTTCGTCTGATTGATTCACTGGAAACAGAAAATAATGGTTAATGAAGGAAGCTGATAATGTTGCTTCAACATGATGCTGCAAATATGATGCTGTAAACGGCAATGGAGTTGCAATAAGATAAATGTGAATCGGTTGCATGTACATAGAGTAAATACAACCGATTCTCATGAACCCTGTTCTTCACACTACTGTATACTCAACTTTTCCACGAAGTTAAAATGTATCAAAATAATCATGAAAGCAACGATCGTTTGTTTAATAATAAACATACTGACGTTATCTCAACATGATGCAAGTTCATAGAAAAGTCAAAGTAATCATTATATCAATGAATAAATATTTTATCGGAAAATCATGACCATATTTATATCGATCCAATAGTTTAATGAAAATGATTGCCTTAACATCAATATAACCAACAGAAAATACATGTTGAGTTTTCATGAGAATAATAATGCATTTCGTTTGTTACATGATCTATAGTTTTTCTCCAAATATAAACCAAAGGAGCGTATAAGGTCATATGTTAGCTTCGTGACTTCGATTCCGACGTGTTTACATTAACTATGGGGATGAGCAAGATTAAACTACACATAATAAATAGCCTAGAATAAGAACCACTAACTTGGGAGGATATATTACAATGTCATTTCAATAATCAATACGTTGTGAGTATTATTTTGACACGTTTCCATCCATTGTTTGTTTTGAGCTAAACTAAATTAACAATAAATGAGCTAACTAAAAATTGCAACACTTTTAACGGGAATGCCGATTCTGGCCTCTGTAGAGTATACGCGTGCAACCAATATAAGGTGATTAGTATGACTTTAGATAATATCAATAATAATTCCTCATCCTAGAAATTTGAACAAAGACTGACCTTACATTTTTACAAAATCTTTTGTGATTCACCTCAGTTTCACCTTAATAAATTTTGAGCAGAGACACTGAATAAATAGTTATCGTATAACTTCAATAATGATTCGTTCACAAAGAATCTCCAGATAAATCTTTCATCGCGAAAATCATATTTTCCAAATGAATGTTACTCGCTAGTTTATGTTTTCTTGTAGGAACAATGGTATTTGGATTGAATGCCTCCTTAAGACGTCTCCAAACAAATTTCTTGACATTATGTGGGAAAAGATCCACTTTTCTTTCATTTGAAAACACCATATTCTTTCAGAATGCGATGTGATTAACAATATGTTAATTTGCCAATGTTAAACGAAATTACATCTGAATAGCCTCTAGAAAAAAAAAGTATTTATGAGGTCAGTCTGCTCGTAGGTCGACCTCATAAAACAGCTCTGTTCACACTCTAGTAATACTCTTTCTTGTTATTTCACTATAGTGGCTTTCAAATTTTTCCTAATATACTTACACCTTAATATTTGAGTTATTTTAAAAAATTCTAAGATAACAACATTTTTCTCTGGTCAAAATCTTCTTCTTACTACCAATTCTATATTTTTGTAGGAGTATTTTCTTTCATGGACAATGATTTTTCAAACATTTAACATAGATAGTCGTTAGAACCGAAGAAAATAATACTGGACAGTTATGTAATATCAAGTCTCTTATATGGTAGTGAAGTCTGGATAATCTCATTGCAGATAAAGAAGAGACTTGAAGCGACGGAAAAAAAAGGACACAGTTCAGATTTCTAAGGTACATTTGACACTCACGGGATATATTGAAGGCAAGTGGCATAACAGAAAGCAACCCATTTCCTAACAAACTTTTGTGGATGGTTGGTAGAAAAAGGGATTAGGAAGAGTAGAAGAAATACAAACTTTACTAACAGCTACAAAAAGCGGAAATTGTGGAGAGTCATGATCGCCCAATTTCTGAAGAAATCGTCTACAAATACTGCGCGATTTGTGAGTCGTCCGGTGGAGTAATGGATAGCTGCTCGAATTCCATTCCATTCACTTTCCCTTGGAAAAGGTATGAATCTTCTTCTCCCTGCAGCTATGAGCAAATAGCAGGACAGACTGTAATCTATAGTCTTGGATAGCAACTGGTCTACCGCAGAAAGAAATGACAACCTACTGCGGGAAAAATATGCCTCGTCAGTTATGTATCGAAAAGCACATAAGCGTCTAAGCGTGTATCACGCATGGCAGATAATAGATTGAATTTTAATTTATAAAGCATTTTCAGACGTCTTCAATATTATTCAGATATAAGAAAGTGTAGTTTCATCTTCAAAAATATTTGAAGAGGATACTATTGTCTAAATATTTTGTAATTATAACGTGATTATATTAAGATTGAAATCACCAAATCATTTTTTTTCCTGGAAATTAATAAATCTTGTAGTAGTATTATTATTTAATATGCACCATATATATATATATATATATATATATATATATATATGTATATATAACGAAACTTATAATCAATGAATGATAACTATCAAGACAATCTTTATTTACAAGAATAATTATATATTTGCAGCATTCTAAAAATAATACAATTGATTTAAAACCAGTGTAATGCAATATTTATCATTTACCAATTCATAAAGTACTTAATATGAAAAGAATTGTTTTATTTATACATTTATAAATGTTTATTAATTATTAAAATGTGTGAACGAACTATAACGAAACGCGTATTAGTTATAATTTTATAAAGTTCAAATTGAGAAGACGGAACCTTTGGGGTGGGCATCGATGGCCGAGGCTTTGAGCGTGCTCATCTTGTTCAGATTGTTGATCACGCTAGATAAGAAACTTCTTTTCCAGAAACTGTAACTGCATAGCTACAGTATAAACCAAAGCTGGGCTCTGTGGGTGTTGAACAAACACAAAATGCGCCTGAGCAAGCGTCTGCAATAGGCATTAGCGAGACGGGTATCTTCAGCCATTATAATCATAAATATATAACAATTATATATATATATATATATATATATATATATATATATATATATGCATCGTTTATATATAAAAGATAATAAATTATTATTTATACTTTTCTAGCCACAATTATGGATGCAGCGTCTTCTTTTTAAATATCATAAGATATTAATATATATTGCAGAAAGTTATCAATCCGCTAAATACTAAATAACTGCCGTCACCTAGAAAGAAAACTCAACTGCGACAATATTTGAAATTATATATCTCCATAAACCAAAGAAACTAAAACCTTTCTAATAATTTTCATTGTTTCTTTAGTTGCATTTTAAAAGCATGGTGTATGCAGTCGACAAGCTAATTAAGACGAGATCGACACTGAAATCGACTTTGAACAAATATTTCAAATCAATGCTATATTTTAAAGCCGTATTTGTAATATAAACTAATCAGAAAACGTCTAATCTTTAGTCACAGTAAATATCTTCCACTCCCCACCCACAACAAATGATTTAATAAGAATGACGTGTAACCATGTACTTGAAAAGTTATTTATTCTTTCTTTCAGCTCAGAAAACAAGCAAGTAAAATCAGGAAAGTTAAGAAATTATAATTTTCTTTCGTTTGTCTATATTTACTCTTTTTTTCTGCTTTTTTTTTCTTACTTTATTTTCTGTTTCGTTTTTTAGGTTTGTTGATATACATTTTCTTTTTTCTGTCTCTCGACTTTTCTTGCATTTACGGGTTCCCATTACCGCTATTTCTCCTTCATTCCTTCTGCTTCTTTTCCTACACTGCCACTATCTACTTAAACTTTTCGCTTTTTTTTACATATTTTTTGACCATTTTTATTTTCTTTCTTGCTTCCTTTCTTTTCCTCTTTATTTTTTTTTTTTTAGAGATTTGGTAACATTACATTTTTTTTTAATTTGTTTTGGCGTTATCTCTGATTTCTTTCATTTCTACTTGTAGAAACTTTTAAAATTTCCTTTAGTTTTCTATACAAATCTTTTCTCCGACTGCCGCCGATTGTGTTACTTTCTCTTCCATTATAGTTTTTCATGGATATTCTTTCTTTCTTTTCTTTCTTTCTTTCTTTCTTTCTTTCTTTCTTGCTTGCTTTCTGTCTTTTGCTCTTTCTTTTTCTTGTATCTTTTTTTTTATTTTTATCCCTTTCTTCTTTCTTTCCTTTTTTCTTTCTTTCTTTTATCCTTCCTTTCGTTCTTTCTTTCTTCCTTTCTTTCATTTATCTTTTACTTCTCTCCTTCCTTTTCTTATATTCTTTTTTCTTTCTTTCTTACTTTATCCTTTCACTCACCCTTTCTTTCTTTCTTCCATTTTTTTTCTTCCTTCCTTTCTTTATTTTATCTATTTTTCTCTGTAACTTTTTTATGGATCCTTTTCCTTTCTTTCTAACTTTTATCCTTTCTTTCGTAATATTTTATTTCATTTAACATTTTCTTTCTTTCTTTCTTCTTTTCTTTAGCTCTTTGTTTCTACGTTTTTTCTTTCTTTCTTATTTTATCTTTTCTTTTGATCTTTTTATTTCTTTTATTATTTCTTTCTTTCGTTATTTCTTCCTTTTCCTTTCTTTTATCTTTTCTTTCGCTTTTTCTATTTCTTATATCATTTTTCTTACTTACTTTTAATCTTTCTTTCTTTCTTTTAGCCTTTTTTGTCATTTCTTTCTTTCTTTTTCCTTCGTTTTTCTTTCTTTCTTCGCTTTCTGTCTTTCTTCACTTTCTGTCTTTCTTTCTTGTATCCTTTCTTTCTTCCATTCTTTTTCTTGTGTGCATTCTTTCTTTTCCTTGTCTCCTTCTTTCTTTCTTTTTTTTCTCGTACCCTTTCTTTCTTCCATTCTCTTTGCTGTTTTCTTTCTTTCTTTTTCTTGTATCCTTGTTTTTTCTTTCATTTTCTTGTATTCTTTCTTTCTTTCTTTTTTTGGTGTTTTATATATTTTTAAAATTATCCTTTTTCGTTATTCCTCGTATTACTTTCCTATATTTCTCTATTGTTTTCTTTTACTTCACCTTTTCTTATTTCCTTTGATGTGTTTCCATTCTTCTTCTCTTTATTCTTTGACCTCATCCCATTATTTTCCTATCTGCTTATCTAAACTTCGACGACATTGCCTGCACTCATTTTTCGTAAGCCTCTCACCTTAGTATTTCTGATGGAGACAAAAATTTGTAAGGATTTTCCAAACCATTTGGTGAGATTAATTCCAGTCAGATTGATAGAAAATCGAAGTCTTAGAAATAATGGTGCCAGCGCTGGCGGACCCAGGTTCGGAAGTTAAGTAGGCAAACAAAAGAAATTGAAGAGCGTCAGTGGAAGGGTTTCACCTCACCACTCCACACGATACTCTAACCGATTGTAGTCCCAGCTTTGATTGTGAATCGCCTAACACGATAACGCAATACACGATACGTTCTCTCTCTCTCACTCTTTCTCTCTTTCTCTATCTGTCTGTATCTCTCTCTCTCTCTCTCTCTCTCTCTCTCTCTCTCTATATATATATATATATATATTTGTGTGCGCAATATACATCATATACAAAGTGGGCGCATGGCTGGAGTGTTTAGAAAATGAACGTTTGAGTCGACGTTGAAACTCTATTTCCAATCTCATCATGGTCGATTTATCAAGGAGGTGACCTCTTGATAATAATGGCCTGGGGAGAAGATCCCGCCACACTGCATTGTTGGGAAAGTGCCTGCAATCCATATCACGAATTGATCCAGATCTTTTGATTGAAGGTGGTTAGATGGAACTCTATGGAAGCCGACAATGGTTGTGTTAGCATGAAGGTACAAGACATCGTGACTGAGGGTTTCAGCGTAACCTCTCTTCGTTCATAGCTATAATCAAATGAGATTGTGTGCTTGTTTTCCCCTGAGCAACTATAACTAACGTCCAGCATAGTTACAGTGTAAACCGCATATTACCTGTGTACGGTCGAAGGAACATATTTTATAAGTAGAAAAGATTACTACTTTTGTGTGTCCATCAGTGAATAGTCTTGATATTAACTAAACTGGAAACGCAGAAATTTCGATAGCTTTTTGTTGAAACTTGACTAATGCATGGAATAATAATGCAACACAAAATGTACTTAGAACAAAATGTATTGAAACAAGAAAATGTACACAATATTTACATATAGTCTTTTGTATATTCCTGGTAAGACCGTTCCTGGAGAATGTGTTGACTGAGTCGCAGTCGGGCAGAGTCTCTGGTTGAATCTCTTGATTCCTCCCTCTCTTCCCGGTACCAACCATATTTATATGGTCGGTACTCCACTATGCAAATTAGGTGGATCCTACCACAACACTTTTATATCTTTACAAGCGTTTTGCATAAGACATATTTAAGAGCGTTTATCAGTGAACTCCAGTTAAAAAGTTGTACACATAAATTCTTATTAAACTACAGATTTCGGACGTTGTTTCACACTGTCCGAGATGTAGCTAAAGTTATTAGACATCAAAATTGTGTGCTGTTAAATTATCAAGCTAAACGCGTAGAACATTTTCTGGTTTAGTGAACATCCGGTCAGGCCCAATTAAATATCCTCCTTCTTTGTGCCGTGTCCCTTCAAGGACGTTGACGATCGGGCACTCCACAATTTCCTGTTTTTTGTAGCACTTAGTAAATGTTGTCTTTTGTTATCTCTCGTAAACCTTCTTCCGTCCAAGTATTTACTCAAGTTTGTTAGGTAGATTATACGGTGTTTTCCTCTGACCCTCTTGCCTGCAATTTGTCCTGTGAATATCCAATTTTCCAAACCCTCCTTCCGCATTGTGTGACCTATAAATTTCAACAACCTCTTCCTGATGATAAGTATACGTTTCTTTTTTGTTTTCATTTTCTCTAAAACCTCATCCTTTCTCATATGCTCGATCCATGGTATTCTGTAGAACAAAATTTCTGTTGCTTCAACTCTTTCCTCATATGTGAGGAAATAGTCTAGTATTCACTAGACATAACAGTTCAGTTGTCTTTTCTTTGTTTCTAATATTTTTTCTGTTTTTTTAATACTTCGCTTAGGTTTTGGAAAGCATCTTTCGCTATCCCAATGTGTCTTCGAATTTACTTTTCGTCTTCTGTTAAAACACCTCCGAGACATTTAAATTATTGCACTTATTTGATTTTGGTATCTCCAATTTGTAGTTTGCACGTTGGGCTCTTCCTTTTGATTGGTTGATTTGATTTTGTAACGTCATGTCAATTCCTTATATGTCATTTAATGCCGAAAATTAATTTTCTTGGGAGCTTTGAAGTAATATAAAAATATAATATATATTCTTCTTCTTTCACAGTTGAATACATAGTGTGCATACACATGATTGTATGGACATAATTACTAGAGGTGGTGACGTGTGTTTTATATTGTATTTTTGTTTGATTTCTTTAAGAAATTCTAGAATATTATATGGATTAATGTCATGAGTTCTTTCATATTCGTTATTTGGTAGTACTATAAATATGTAATGTTGGTGATTTTACTATAAATGCACATCGCTGGCAATTTCAACATCAATATGTATTGTTGGTAATCTCTTTATGCAAAAATATATTGCTGGAATTCTCACTACCAAATGTACTTCCATACCATAGTGTTTTGTTTTTGACTAGTGGTTCAATATTTACCCATGGTTGGAATCCTTAACGGGTACTACCATCTCGGGTCAGGGTGGATCTGGGAACAGCAGCAATTAAAAAGTGGTTCTATGCACCTCAAAAACGCGAATCCCCCGATCAGAGGTCTTACTGCCGGATGCAGTTTATTGTCATAACCAGGACAAATTCCTTTTGCTAGTAACCATGCATTCTTTCTACTAGTAATTGACATTTAGCCATTTCTTTTTAATTTCCTTTACTACGGGTTCTTTTCGTTTCCTTTCTCTATCTTCTATCAACATCGTGTGATCTGTGTATCTTATGTTGTTAAGAGTGTAGCCGCCACTCCATATTTCTTTATTTTTTTTTGTTTCTTCAGAAAATGAGAACATTGATGGTTTGATTTTATATAACCAATTAATACTAACCTTCTAATTTTTGATACGGTAGTATCCATTAAATTGACAGTTAATATATATATATATATATATATATATATATATATATATATATATATATACCGGAAAATCGGTTGAGCTCTCTGGAGAAAAGGGTAATTTTAAAAACAGTGGTTTCCTACTGCTATTAACGCATTGCTCTTCAACTACGAATTGAGCTCTCCTGTCCACTGGCGTATTTCGTAGTGAAAACGTTAATTTTTCCCTTTCTCTCTGCCCTGCAACGAGAGCTTAGGATCTCTGACTGATGCCAAATCGGTCGGGTTTTTGATCCTGGCTTGAAGTAATCGGATGTCTAGCTACATTGAAGAGCTGTGATACAGCAGAAACAGTCTGTCTGTGGATGACTATATATATATATATATATATATATATATATATATATATATATATATATATATATATACGACTATTCCGTCGAATTCGACGTATGAGGGTCAAGCAGATCATTTCTCAGGAAACCGACAGCCCGACAACAGCACATGAGTTTTGATTATCGTGGTGAAGGTTTCGTGCAGGACCATCCACACTTTTTGAAGAGCCGAATATTGAGACCTGGTGTACTACGTGCCACAAGGTTCCCGAACGACCCTCCGCAGGTTTTGAATTCAGAGTTGTCCTTCTCCTAGACCAGTTGCCATCCAAGGCTATAGAACACAGTCTGTCCTGCTATTTACCCATAGCTGTAGGGAGAAGAAGAGGATTCACACCTTTTCCAAGGTGTAAGTGAATGTAATGGATTCGAACTCTGCTCTCTGATTCCCCAATCCAACCAAGCCGCTATCCATTACTCCACCTTTCTCTCTCTCTCTCTCTCTCTCTCTCTCTCTCTATATATCTCTATATATATATATATATATATATATATATATATATATATATATATATATATATAATATCGGATTTTATAAACCTATAATTAATAATACCTGATGCATGGTCGAATAACAGGCGACTGAACTGGCTACACTACAAGGCTTTCTTTTGTTCAGCAGTGGTAATAGTCGCTTAGCAAGATTAAAAACAACAAGACTTAGCAAAGAACGGATGGAGCTGTAGTAGTGAATGGTTTTCTAGGCCAAGGAGAGAGATAGCGCTCCACATATGTATGCAACCCGTGTGCTGATGACACGGCATCGCTGGGCGAACGGCGTCCTGGACTGAAGTCAAGGGCCAATGCGAATGGGTCCCTCGATGAAATAAACATCCACTTGTCCGTGACGAAGGCGAGCCTTCGAATTCGAAGACACCGGCTTTCGTTTGACGCGCAGACGGATGGGCTTTGCTAGGTGGTCAAAACACTTTACGCATGGATAAATACTACTCTGACTTTCAACCCTGATGTGGAGAGAACTGGCCATGTTCTCAGAAACTAACATACGACTAAACCCGGCCATAGTGATTATGATGATGATGATGATTACATCTTTTTGATGGAGGAACAAGGAGATATGGTCTCTAAAATTTAATCAGCAAATTTTAGGAGGATTTCCGGCTAATATCTGTACCATGTTCACTTGGTAACTGTAAAATTATTATTATTACCTAATCTAACCGAATCTCAATTCAATATTATGTTCGTTCTAGAAACATTCGGAGATGATAATTAATACTAGATATTTATTTATATTTTTATTATTAATATCTGTTTTTACAATGGGCATAAATGGTCTAAAATATGAAAGAATTTTTTTTGCACATACCTAATGAATATCTACAGTTATTACTTTAATATTATTTCCACCGGATCTAGATATGTTATATAAATCTTTCATTGTAAAAAATATTTAGCAAGAAAACTTCTGCCACAGATAGCTTCCCAAGTACATTTTCCTTTGCATTATTGGAAACAAAAGAATGTATAAAAACCTAATAAACCTAATACAAGAAATATAATATTAATAATATAATTAATTCAATATCTTGTAAGTACATGCAGTTCAGTGTAGTGTCGGGAAACTGGCTGTTCACATTCAGTGTCTCGCAATCTAAACTAGTGACGTTCCATCACAGAGCAGACCCAGAATGTTCGCTGATCAAGTTGATCGGGTTTTCCTTCAGGGATACCCCGTGCCTTCAGCACG